ATTCTTTAAAAAATGTGAAGTTTTTGAATTAAACTGAATAAAGATTTAAAAAACAAAGATAACGACAAAGAGTGATTTAGTAGTTATAAATCAATGAATAAGCAATCTTGACCATTAATTTAAAGTAACAAATCATGTCCATTGAAAATATAATTTTTTTTGTATTTATTATATTCACCGATTTACCATTAAAGGAAACTTTTTTAAAATTTGTAGTGTGAACACAATGGTGAAATTGAACCACAGTGCGACACGTCAGCAAGGTTTTCACATAATGGAATTCCTTTATAATATAAGATTGTTAATTTACATGTTCGCAAAGAAAAGGATGGTAAACTCAAATGCTAGTAAAATTCAACCTTCTTCTAGCTAAAAAAATTAAAAATTAAAATAAAAGTTCTATATATGAAAGAATACTTATGGCTTATTTGAAAATTTGGAGCTCGACTGTGCTCTTCGAACATGCATGCTGTGCAAGGAGGGACCATCCTTTTTTACCTTGGAATCAAAAATCAAGCAAATGAGAATGCTTTCCTAATTGTGACATTATATTTATATTTTTTTTACTTTTAGTAGAATTCATTCCGGGACCAGAACATGGTCCTCCTTCAGATTAATACATTGTCCCCTGCTTAATTTGAGCAAGGAAGGATTAACATGAGAAGAGACATATATTTGAGTCATCAACTATTTTGCCGTGCACACGCAATAGGATGGATGTTACATATTCTTGACAAGTGAATAACCAATATTAGGTGTGATCTCTGTCAAATTAAACACTATTCATCTTTATTTTCTTCTGATGCACAGCTGATTCCATTCATCATGACCTGGCTCTTATTCTGGGAATGAAGTAATTCGTTTATATTCCTTCAACATAATTTTGAAAACTCATCCAATTGCATCCTGCTTTTGCACAATATGATATCCCTCAAGTTGGCTGTTGGTTGTATTTTTCAAAAGAAAGAGTTATCGTTCTCTGGGAACGAGAGATTCGGTTTCTTTCAGTTATTCTTTTTCAATGAAAATTGGATTTTCTGAATTGTAAACTATATTAAGAACACGTTTATAAGAGTAAAAATGAATATTAAGAAAATCTAGAATTCTGACTTTGATGACTTTTCTCTGAAAATTGCATGTCTTCGATTTAACTGTTGTAGCACCTATAATTGATGGAATCTGACTTTTTATAGAACCTCACCAAACTTTCCCAAATTCAGTTTGTGAAATGATTCACATTAATCCCTTAATTTTGAATCATTTTACTAATGACTTGTAATCAGATTCTTTCCTAGATTATTCCTAATCTAGAAAACTTGAATTAATGAAATCATGAACTTGAATTTTCCAATACAAGTTCATGCAATATTCTTTAAGTCCATTCCCATGGAACTTAAACCAAGAAATATTCACTACTCAAACATTAAGAACATGCACAATAGTTCAGATTATAAATGGGTACTCATCATCTCCATCAGAATTCCAGAAAAAAAATTTAGCAATGCATGTTGAAAATTAAAACTAAAATAAAATCTGAAACAAAAGTAAGCATGATTTTCATTCACAAAGTAAAGAAATCGTAAAGAGTAAAGGTACAGACCAATAAATCTTGAATCTGAAATTGGTACAATCAAAGAGAAACTAAAGAACGAAGTTACTGATCGGAAATTGCATGCAGAAATCTCTTCTTGAATCCCTTCAAGAATGAGGTTGCTCCAAGAAAGCTTAAAGGAAAAATTTCAGCGCTCGAAGAAAAACGTAAAAACACAGATTTAAACTAAAACTGAGTTCTCTCTTTTTTTATCTAACGAAAAGTCTGATTCTAAAAGTATGCGTTCCCTCCTCTTTTAACACAGAGACTCTCTTTTTTTCTAAAGCCAATTGCTGTCCTTCATATTAGAAGAGTATCCAACGGTTGTTACTTTGCCACCTCATCTCATCTTTCATCTTTTCATCTTTTCATCTGCCATGTGTCATTTTCTGCATTATAATGTAAAAAATATTAGTGAAAAGTTAAATTCCTTTTTTTTACTTCTTTCTTTACTATCTTGGGCTTACTCCTTTAAGTTTGGCCCACTTTTACCTTCACTTAGACAAAATCAGCTCAAAAACTATAGAAAATTTACTACTGAACTAAGTAGAAATTAAGACTAACATTGGCCACTTTATCAATCATCACATGACTTCAGAAAAATACAAAGCAACTCAAGTAGTCCTTAAAGAACTACAACTCTTAAATATTTTTAATAACGAACCAATCTATCAGATACAAAATACACCAAATGCACAGACCCCACTCAAATATAGATATGTTGATGCAGGTACTAACATATATCTTATCTACTATAACATCATCCAGAACATCTTCTTTTCTTTTTTTTTTTCCTTCTCTTTTGTATGAAATAATCTAACAGCACCACACTTTAATCTTCTTAACTGAAACTTAATCTGATGGTGATACTAATAATAAATATTTCACGTATTTATTTCTCCTTGCCAAATCATATAAGTCTTGTACTGATCATTCCATCTATTTATTTCAAAACCAGTTGTCTCTTCTTAAATACCTTTATGTACCAAACTTTGACACCAACTAGGCCAGCTACAACATCATAAACAAAATATGTGAATACTCTAATTTTAGGTTCTCCAAAGTATATAAAACGAAGGCTGTCTAGTTGAATTATTCAATAAACTAACACAGACACATAAATAAACTCAAAATGAGTCAAATAAGAGAATCAGTTCCAAAAATCAGAAAAATAGAGATTATACGAAGAAAGACAGCCAGGGGTTTATGAGTTACTCTACCTTGGTATCAACTTCACGCTTGAACACTTTGTAAGTTGTGTTGCATATATGTGTATGTTTTTGTATTGTTATTACCTTGTAGGGGTTTAATCAGTTCCTAAAACCCACCTCTTCACTTTTCTCTTAATCCATTATTTCTTCTCCCTGACACACATGCTTCTCCCTCACTATTTATTAAAGAACTCCATGATATTCTGGTTACTGATTTACGATGGATTTCTATACATTATTTTGTAAATATCATTCAATAATTTATTGTAGGGAACACATTATATCAATGGAATAGAGTTTTTTGTCCCTACCGATGATTCCAAATGGCTAAACGATCGCAAGAAATGGACAAACATATAGAATGTGGTTTCACGTGTCATATTCAGTTTTTTTATTTATTTATTATTTTATTTCAATTTGGTGAGAAATTTGGATGTGGCATTTTATAAATATCTCTGTGTATTAATAGTTTGATGATAAGTATGTGGATGTAAACTTCTTTATAATAATATATAATATATTAAATACAGCTAAGAAAGTTTATAGACATTACACACAAACCCAATGGAAGAAAAACCATCATAGCAGAACAATATGATTTCTCTATGTTTGTAATCTTATTATATTTTTGGTAAGTATCTATGTTTTTAATTTAACAGCAGAGTAATCACATTATTCTATAGCAAAAGCTTATGCAGTCTTAAAAGGCTTTCTGATAAATGAGAGACTCCTCTCTCTGCATCTTCAATTGCTTGTAGAAGTTCCTAATGAAGGCCTCATCTTTTGCAAACAGCTCTTGCCCACTAACTCCATCAATCTCCTCTTCTGCTTCAACCTCTTCATCCATGACTTCTTCATCAGCTTGCACTTTGTCCACTTTGGTGCCACAAACAACCCTTTCAGATATTGCAGACTTTTCAACAGCCTTAAGCTTCTCTTCAACATGTTCTGAGACAGCACATACACTTCTTGTGCTTGAAGCTTCCCTTTTCTCAAAATTGACTTCTGGGGGTATCACAGGTTTCTGTATAACAGAAGCAAACTGTTTACTGTCTTCTAAAGGCCTTGAAAAAACTGAAAGGAGGCCAGCTTCGGCACCAAGTGTGATGATGAGGAAGTTTAAGATGAAGTACAAGTAGGTAGGCCTTACAGAGGAAGGCAAAAAGGGTGTGATGGCAAGAAGAAAAACTAGAACAAAGAGCACTAGAACTTGAGATTTCTTAAACTTGTTCATGGCTTTGGTGAATGAGAGGACAAGTACAGCAACAAGCAAGGAATGAACAAGATGAATGATGAGAAAGAACAATATGATCTAGTGGTAGTTGGAAGTAGCTAGTAGGAATAAGTGTGGGGTTCTGGACACACATATATATATATACATATATAGAGGAGGACATGAAAGTGGGGATGAATAAGACAAGTGGAGGAGAGAGAGAGAGAGAGGGTGATGAAAGTTGTACATTGGAGAAACCATGGACTTTGTGGGTCAACAAACAAAATTGTGGTGGATGAAAATTCTCAGATAGTAGAAATATCACTGTCAATCTACAAAAAAGTTGGCAGCAATACAAAGAAGGTGAATTACCCAATGATCTTCATATATGTATTCTGACAGTAAGTATTTGTTCAAAAGGAGAGCATATTTACTACTCCTAGAGCATATAATATTCAATGAGGCGGAGAAATGAGAGAGAGACAAAAAAGTGATGGGAGAGAAGAAAGAAAAAAAATTAATTTTTTTTCAAGTCAAGTGTCAAATTTTTAATTGAAGAATCATGATGATGCAAGTGCACTCTAAATTTTCTTGTTCAAGAGGTGTACTATGTGGATAACACAAACCTGTAAGTAGCGCTTTTAGGTGTACATGATGCAAATAATATCACTTGAATGTGACATTGTAAAATCTCAATGGAAATCCTAATTTTTTTTACTCCAAACATCAGTTGTTTTTCCTTATAAATTTTTCCACTCAATTAATTGCCTTGTCTTTGATTATTCTTGCAATTTCATGATTTTATTTTTTTTGAAAACGAAAATAATATTAGCTAGGAAGGGGAGAGTACAAGATAGGTTAAGGTATCAATTTTAATGTATCATATTCATATAACTTTTTAATTTCCATAATGCAGGATGAATAATAATATATAAAATGGTCAAAAAGATTGGAGAACATTACATACCCTAATTCTTCTTGTTTATTAGTGTTGATCATCTTTCCTCGCTTCCCCAAAGTCACTAGGGAATGATTGTAGACTCTCCCTATAAATAGCAGATTGTACTGGACCTTCTTTGACAAACCACCGCATAATTCTGGAGATCTCAAGCAACTCTCCATTGTCATCAAGTTTCAATAATTTTCTTATATCATCAGATCCAACGATTCCAGCACCTATGCTAAAGCATATCGGGAAATGCGAGTCGCAAGGAATGTAGCGATTAGATGAAACAATGAACTTGGTCCAAGATAACTGCACTTTGTATTCTTTCATCACCCAGCAAACATCATCTGAGCAATACAGACCGAGACATCCTTCTATTACCATGAAATGAAAAATTTCAAATATCGATCTATACATGGAGGCAGTACAATCACGTGGCAAAGGAATCTCTGATAAACTCCTTTTTATCAAATCAAAAGTAATAATCACAGCATCCTTTGTAAAAAAATCACCTTTAGAGAAAACCAACCAATGAAGAGCCTCATTCAAAGGTAACCCAGATATGAATCTTACGCTAATATCTGAATATGGAAAATTAAAACCCTCAACTTTGTTCCATGAATTGGTTTTCAAGGAGAAAAACTCCAAGTGAGTTTTAAACTTAGTGGAAGATTCCATAGCAATAACTACCACGTAGTCATCAGTTGATGGGTCATATCCAAAACCATATAACAATTTGCCACCAGGGGAGCATGATATTGTTTTTCGGGCACCTGTTGATGGATTCCATAAAATGAGATCATCATCTTCACGATACTTTAAAAGTATAATCCCTCGGCAAGAACCCAATATTCGAAGATAATTAGAACTAACCGAAGTAATTAATGATGACTGTGGAGGAGTGAGGTTAAGGTGTACTACAGCAGAATCATCGTGAAGTGGTGCCTCTATTCCTATGAATTCTGAAGAACATTTACGATATGGCTTAACAAGAAGTCGGTGGGTGGGTGCAGCAGCAATGTCATAATGTGATTTTGCAAACTGGGGATTGGAGATGAGAGTGAGCCATGACTTGCACACACATTTAAAACGCAAAAGAGATCTCACCGGCAACCTTAACAGAGTTTCTTCTATTAACTCGTCAGGGAGTGTGAGTGTGAGCTTCATCTCCTTCCTATTCTTCAATGTCATTGGTCACGTACAGTTCTTGTTTCAACAAAAGCAATAGAGAAAGAGAATGTGCACTCGATTGGATTAGGTTTTTCTATTATTTATTTCTTTATTTAGAGAATTTTAATAATTGCTAATACTATTCCTGTTTTCCAAGCCTTAAATAGGTAAAAATAAAATAAAAAAAAAGTAAATAATTATAATCATGTGCAATCAAAGGAGATAACGCACAATCAACAAACTCAAACATAATCTAAAATAACAAAAAAGAAATAACTAGCAATTATTAAAAAATTTTAAATAAAGAAATAAATAATGGAAAAGCCCAATCCAAGCGAATCAGCTCGGATGAATCAAAGAAGGCACTAAGAAAAAAAGAGGAAGAGGGAATCACTCAAATTTCGCTGAGCAGATTGAATTTTTGAATATTTTGATATTATATTGTATTTTAAAATGAAAGCGTTTCACTATATTACCGAAGATTTTGTTTACTAATTAAATTGGATTTTTAAAATTTCAAAATATCACTACTAAAGTTGTTGAATCGCAATCAAATGTCAATCGTTAATATGAATTTTTGAATCGTATTTCATAAATTATATTAACTAGTGCATTGATCGGTTCATAATTGGTTTTGACAAAATCCGAACCGATCCGATTTTAAATGGTTTGGTTTTCAAACCAAACTGGATTGTTTTTAAAAAATCAGCTTTTAATTATCCATACCAGTTTGAAACCGATTTCAAAACCGATCTATGGTTTATAACCGATTTTGATTTAAAATCAGTCAAAACCGGTTATCAAGTTTAAAACCGATTTTATAATAATTTCAAAACCGATTTTTGATGAATTGTGCTATTGTTTTTGAAATAAAATAAAAGATACCTTTATTATTTTTGTTGAAATAAAATAAAATAAAATATGTTATGCCATCATCCAATTTAAATTAGATCCAAGATAAGCTGAAGAAAAATGTTGTCATTTCCATCAACATGTATACCCGAATTTTTAGTATTTTGTAAAGGGGTAGGATATTGTGACAACCAAATAATGTTACTACCAATGTTGCTACCACATCTTAACCGTTGATTTCTGTCAATCAACGGTTATCATTTATTGCGAATTTATAATTAATTAATGAGTTTGATTTGAAAAATGATAACCGTTGATTGGCGGAAATCACTGGTTAAGATGTGATAGTAACATTATTTGGTTGTCACAACATCTCATCCCTTTTGTAAAAACTCAGAAAAATATACTAAAATTCCTGATTATCGAATCCTTATTTCTTAAGTTTACATTCAACTTCATTTTGGTCAATTCTTCCATTTTTGTCTCGTTGAAACCTTCATAGCAACCGGTGAATGCCAACATGTACTTTTCGTATCTTAGGTGAAGCACTCAACCTCATTTTTTATTTAATTGTAGAGCAGTTATGGATAATCATGATAATGTAAGAATCTGCACCGTTAATTAAAGAAATTAATCAGTTAATTATAAGTTTAATGAGATAATTACATAATTGACCCTAATAATTATTATGAGGCTCTAATAATTATAGTAAGTGAGTAATAATGCTGAAAGTTTCTTTTCTGACGAAAAGCGCAGATACCGGTTCTGCTAGTCGGTATAAATGCGTACCGAAAAAGTATACCGGAAAATTATAATAAGTACATGATAATTACTAGAATAATATTTAGGACTTACAAAACGAGTTTCAAGTTAAAATAATGAGAACTGGTGCCAGAAATTGATACTGGCTATGAAAAGTGCGTATCGAAAAGGTGCTCCGAAAAATATAAGAAAAATATGATAATTCTTGTAAAATTGAGTAGGTTAAGAATCCCGAGTTTGGGATTAAAATCCTAAGCGTAGCAATTAAAGTTAATACTGTGCGTTTATGGTTTAAGTGACTATATATACTAAAGTATGGCCCAAAACCCTAGGCCATACATTTCTCCTACGTGAGTTTGCTGAAGGTGTGACACCAACCACCCTACCACCTCCTTCTCCTTCCATTTGAGACACCAAGAGACCTCATTTTCTCTTGGGTTCTTCCTGAAAACTCTATGGGTGAGTGCATTCTAGCCTTGGGAAGTAAAAAGAGGTTGTTTTTCTGAGTTCTTGCTACTGCCTTGGTTAGGATAGGTGCTGAATTTGAGTTTAGAGAGGGTGTGGTCCTTTGGCTTGGCATTTGTGGTGGCAAGGAGTCATCTTTTGGTGCAAGAACCAACCTTTGGTGTGGCATTTTCGTGCTCCTTGCAAGTCAGTATATTTGGAGCTGTTTGGTGAGCTCCAAGAGCCTTCCATTTCTGAGTTTGAAGCTTTGGTGAGTTGCCTAACCTTGATCATGAGTTTAAATGATTTAAAGGTGGTGTCTTTGCATGTAAATGAGTTAAGCAAGTAACTAACATGTGTATGAACATATATAGACCTACAAATGGAGTCTTGAACGCTTTTAATTGGTAAAAGTTGGACTTTGGTGGATATCTTCGCGAAATGCAGAAACTGCATTCTGTCGCGAAATATCCGGATATTGGGTTGATAAATATCCGGATATTGGGTCGATAAATATCCGGATATTGATATCCGGATATGGGGTCTTTGATATCCGAATATAGATATCCGGATATGGTATCCGCATATTGATATCCGGATATGCCCCCGACATATATCCAGATATTCTTGGATTTCGAGAAACAGTAAGGTACTGTTCATACAGAACTGAGCTATGGGTTTGTGGACCCTATTTTGATGGAGTTGAACTTCTGTAAATACTTAACTAAGTCAGAATCAAGTGATTAAGGGCTTATGACTTTGTGGGAAGCCTTAAGACGTAAAACGTAAAAGGAAAACGTAGTCTTTATGTTTATACTATGGAGCTATGAATGTTGATATGCTTGCTGGTTCTAAATCAGATTGTGATCTGCTATGTTTGGACATTGAGCTTGTGTGGACTTGACTTGGATTGATTGCTTAAGAGGTAAGCTTTCGTGTCCTCGGTTTAGCCATGTTGTGGTTCCACCATGTCCCATGGGGATATGGTTATATGCATGTTGTGTTACATGCTTTGGATATTTGAAATGCTGTTGAGCTTTATGTGTAATGGCTTATAATATGCATGTGTTGTTCCATCTTGACGGTAAGCCTGAGTATGTGGCGTCGTATGTAAGAACCTGCACCGTTAATTAAGGGATTTAATTAATTAATTATGTGAAATTAGGAAATAATTCCTTAATTGACCCTAATAATTATTATGAGGCTTTAATAATTATAATTAGTGAGTAAGAATGCTGAAAGTCGCTTTTCGGAAGAAAAGTGCAGATACCGGTTCTGCTAGTCGGTGTAAATGCGTACCGAAAAATTATCCCGGAAAATTGTAATAAGTGCATGATAATTACTAGAATAATATGTAGGACTTGTAAAACGAGTTTGAAGTCCAAATAATAAGAGCAGGTGCCAGAAACTGGTACTGGCTATGAAAAGCGCATACCGGAAATGTGCTCTGAAAATTATAAGAAAAATATGATAATTCTTGTAAAATTGAGTAGGTTAAGAATCCAAAGTTTGGGATTAAAATGCTAAGCGTAGCAATTAAAGTTAATACTATGTGTTTAATTTTAAGTGACTATATATAGGACTTATGCACACAACCTTAGGTTGATACATCAGTTTTTATGCGTGAGTGGCTGATGGTGGCTGCTGTCTCAGCCTTCTCCACCAATGTTTGGCCTCCCTTGTAGCATTTCTTCTCATTTTTCTTCACACTTTCTCCTTGTAAACACCTTGGGTGAGTGAGAGTGAGCATTGGGAGGTGTTGGTGGCCTTGATTCTGAGTGTTGGGGGCTGTGTTGTGGTTGTGAAGGGGCTGAGTTGGTGGTTTGTAGTGTTGGAGCTTTCTTCTTGGCTTGCAAGCTTGAAAGTGTCAACCTTTGTGAAGAAAGAACCAACCTTGTGCACCATTTTTCGTTTGGTGTTCAAGTCAGAACCTTGGGAGCTGGTTGTGAGCTCCAAGAGCAGCCCTTTGCCTCTGTTTTGAGCTTTGGTAAGTGTCACCAACTTTGATCATGTGTTTTGATGAGTAAAAGAGATGTCTTGGTATGTTTAAAGAGTAAACAAGTAACCAACTGCTATGTAAACCTAAGAGGGTATAAAAATACATGCTTTAACGTGTTTAAGTGTTAAAAATGGAACCTTGGAAGGATATCTTCGCGAAATGCAGAAACTGCATTCTGTCGCGAAATATCCGGATATGGATATCCGGATATTGCCAGAGTGATATCCGGATATTTGAAATCCGGATATTGCCTTTGAGATATCCGGATATTGCATATCCGGATATGTCCCCGAGGAATATCCGGATATTCTGGGTTTGCGAGGAACAATAGCGTACTGTTCATCCAGAACTGATTTATGGGTTTGTGGACTCTTGTTTAAGGAAGTGAAACTTCTGTAACTAATTAATGTAAGTCAGAATCAAGGGATTAAGGATTTTGATCGCAGTATCAATTTTAAGTCGTGTTTTGGTTGCTGGAAATTCCGTTTGCAGCAGTCACCTTGCGTAAAACTTAACCGGAGTTATACAACTCCGATTGAGACATTTAATATGTCGTTGTAAAGCTAGAGATGTCTAGTTTAACATATTAAAATATTGGAATTTTCGGTAAAGAGCTGCAATTAAAGCTTTAAAAAGAGTAAATGCAGTTTAATGCTTAAGGCTTTGAGAAAAGCCTGCAGTAAGTGAAAATGAGAAAGAAAACGTATTCCTTTTGACATGAATTTGTAGAGCTTGATTATTGATGATTAAGTATTGTATTAACAGATTGTGATTGTGCTGTTTGTGGGCCTTGAGCTTGTGTGGACTCTTGGTTGGTTAGCTAGCTTACAAGGTAAGCTTTCGTGTCCTCGGTTTAGCCATGTTGTGGTTCCACCATGTCTCATAGGGGTATGGTTATATGCATGTTGTGTTACATGCTTTTGATGTTTTGGAAATGCTATTGAGCTGTTATATGCTAGTGCCTTTATGATATGGATGTTGTGTTCCACCTATACGGTAAGCCTGAGTATGTAGTACATACAATATGGTGAGGTTGTGGGTGAGGTGCAAGCGATGTTCCTTGTACTATCTGTAGGTAATGGACGTATTCCTGCATTTCTCTGGCCAGTAAAATAGTTAAACACACATGGTATGAATATCTGTTGCACTGCATAGTTTTGGAAATTATATTGAATTACTGCTTTTATAACTTATATTGCACATGTAAGTGAGCTTGAGGTGGAAGATCCTTGAGCCTTGTCTTACTGAGATTTTTGTTTAGAGATCTCACCCCACTTTTGGGGCACCATTTCAGGTTCAGGTAATGCGGGGGTTGAGACCTCTAGCGGCAGGAGGCCAAAGCTTAGCTAATAGATGATACTTGTTTACGCTGCTTATGTTGTTATGTTGTTATGATTAGATGCTGGATCTTGTTTACTGTCTTATGTTTTTAGCTTCAGTTTATGGATTTCTATGTCGAGGCTTTGTTGGTTATGCTGTCGATTTGGTGAGCATGGGGATTGTCCATGCCACATAGACTTGATTATTGTCTTGTTTTATCTGGAGTTGTAATAATGTATCAGGATTATAGTCCAGATTGCGTGTTGTAATGCCGTGACTTAGATACTCACTTTATATCTATACATTGAGGTATTTCTGTTAGATGTCTTTTGCATTTACATACAGGCGATGATTTTATGAAAATGATTAAATAATCAACTTGGTTAAGTATAATGACGTCATAATTGAAAAAGAAAAAAATATTCCGTATTTTTAATTAAGCACAGCTCAATACGATGACATGTTAACAAACCGGGGGTATACACAGGGTGTTACAGTATACCATATTCCAATTTGATTGGATACCAAAAAAGGGTGTCTTCTTAAACACCTTTATGTACCAAACTCTGACACCAACTAGGACAACTACAACATCATAAACAAATATATGTGAATACTCTAATTTTAGGTTCTCCAAAGTATATAAAATGAAGGCTGTCTAGTTGAATTATTCAATAAACTAACACAGAGACACAACTTCACGTTTGAATACTTTGTAAGTTGTGTTTTATGGATGTGTATGTTTTTGTATTGTTATTACCTTGTAGGGATTTTGATTCTTTTTCCTAAAACCCACCTCTTCACTTTTCTCTTAATCCATTATTTCTTCTCCCTGACACACACATGCTTCTCCCTCACTATTTATTAAGAACTCCATGATATTCTGGTTCCTGATTTACGATGGATTTCTATACAATATTTTTATTTATATTATTTTGTAAATATCATTCAATAATTTATTGTGGGTCACACATTATATCAATGCAATAGAGTTTTTTGTACCTACCAATGATTCCAAATGGCTAAACGATCGCAAGAAATTGACAAACATATAGAATGTGTTTTCACGTGTCATATTCAGTTTTTTTATTTATTTATTATTTCATTTCAATTTGGTGAGAAATTTTGGATGTGGCATTTTATAAATATCTCTGTGTATTAATAGTTTGATGATGAAGTAAGATAAGTATGTGGATGTAAAATATTAACTTCTTTATAACACAAACCCAACGGAAGAAAAACCATCATAGCAGAACAATATGATTTCTCTATGTTTGTAATTTTATTATATTTTTGGTAAGTATCTATGTTTTTAATTTAACAGCAGAGTAATCACATTATTCTATAGCAAAAGCTTATGCAGTCTTAAAAGGCTTTCTGATAAATGCAAAACTCCTCTCTCTGCATCTTCAATTGCTTGTAGAAGTTCCTAATGAAGGCCTCATCTTTTGCAAACAGCTCTTGCCCACTAACTCCATCAATCTCCTCTTCTGCTTCAACCTCTTCCTCCATGACTTCTTCATCAGCTTGCACTTTGTCCACTTTGGTGACACAAACAACCCTTTCAGATATTGCAGACTTTTCAACAGCCTTGAGCTTCTCTTCAACATGTTCTGAGACAGCACATACACTTCTTGTGCTTGAAGCTTCCCTTTTCTCAAAATTGACTTCTGGGGGAATCACAGGTTTCTGTATAACAGAAGCAAACTGTTTACTGTCTTCTAAAGGCCTTGAAAAAACTGAAAGGAGGCCAGCTTCGGCACCAAGTGTGATGATGAGGAAGTTTAGGATGAAGTACAAGTAGGTAGGCCTAACAGAGGAAGGTAAAAAGGGTGTGATGGCAAGAAGAAAAACAAGAACAAAGAGCACTAGAACTTGAGATTTCTTAATTAACTTGTTCATGGCTTTGGTGAATGAGAGGACAAGTACAGCAACAAGCAAGGAATGAACAAGATGAATGATGAGAAAGAACAATATGATCTAGTGGTAGTTGGAAGTAGTAGGAATTAAGTGTAGGGTTCTGGACACATATATATAGAGGACAAGTGGGGATGAATAAGACAAGTGGAGGAGAGAGAGAGAGGGTGATGGAAGTTGTACATTGGATAAACCATGGACTTTGTGTATAAGTTGGACATTTATAGGTCAACAAAAATAAAGTTGTGGTGGATGAAAATTCTCAGATAGTAGAAATATCACTGTCAATCGACAAAAAAGGTGGCAACAATTCAAAGAAGGTGAATTACCCAATGATCTTCATATATATTCTGACAGTAAGTATTTGTTCTAGAGGTGTACTGTGGATAACACAAAGCTGTAATTAAGTAGCACTTTTTATGTCACTACTGAATTCAATTTTCAGGTTCAACTTGATTAATGTGTGAGGGAGTTGCTACTTGGTAGATAGAACTGGTTCTGTGCACTTGGTAGATAATATTATTGCATCAAGATTCAGTGCATCTTACTAATAAGAGCATTACACATCATAAAAGAGAGAAAAATTTGGCTGAAAAAAAAAAATTTAACTGCCATATAATATTTTTATTGATAGGATTCACTGAATCTTTGGTGCAACAGTTAGAACCAAAATTTTATTCACGAAACGGAGGCTTTTTTAACAATTAGACGCAATTTACGATAGTGTATACCTCATTAATGCACGTCCTAATTGTTTTAACAGTGCGGTCAATGTCGCAATTTAACCATGCGAGACCCCTCCTCCATATATACATATAGGATCATTTTACATCAGTGTAAGTCACACTCTTAATCTTGTCTACTGATTTTATTTATATTTAAGGGCTCAAAATTTTTAGTAATATGAACCATTAGATACAACTGAATCAATAATCAAAATTGAGTGTAAGATTTCTAACTCTTATAATAAGGATATCTTGCTTATATATATATATATGGGAAATGTGGGAAATCATATGTGGGAAATGTGAGAAATCAATAATCAAGATTGAATGTAAGCATTAAATGTGAGAAATCATAACCATATTTGGATTATTTTTTTTATTTTGCATAAAATAAAACAATCTTCCAATACAACAAATTTTATATGGGACTCACTTTAATTTTTTTCTCTTTTTCCTATTCTTTCTCCTCTCTTCTCCTTTTGTGAATGTAGAAAAATTACTTTAATCTTATGCAATATAAGAAAAATAATTATATATATATATATATATATATATATATATATATATATATATATATATATGAGGCAGGATCCTTTGAAACCAGTGTCAAATTTCAAATTTGACACCTTATCTTAGAGCCGTTAGATCAAAAAAGATCAACGACTCTAATTTGTAAGCATGTGACACCATTGATCTTTTTTGATCTAACGGCTCTAAGATAAGGTGTCAAATTTGAAATTTGACACTGGTGTCAAAGAATCCTACCTCTATATAACCTCTATATATATATATATATGGGAAAAATAAATCTCATGACGTAAGAGATTCTAATTTCATGTCATAGATACATCATGTGTGAGACCCACCTATTTAAAAAAAACAAAAAACAAAAAATGAGTGGCACACATTTTTATGGTGTGTGTAGGAAGGTATATATATATATATATATATATATATATATATATATATATTATGTTTTCAGTCACCGTATTTATCTACCTTTTCGATTATACCCTCACAATTTAGTGCGGGACTCGTCCCGCACAAGCAAAGTGTGACATTGACCGGTTTAATGTGGTAAAAAATTTGGTACACCGTCAAAAAATCCAAAATAATCAATCCTCTCATGTGATATATGTCCATTTAAAAAGATATCAACAACGTAAATATAGATCAACCGTTATTTTTTTCTTTTCCGCTCTTAAAATAAATCTTCTTTTATATGATGTCATCTGACATGACATGAACGGATCAGAGTGTTGGTTGTGATTAAGTCATTTATGTGCATGACCACCTCAGAAAGAGAAAATTAAGTTTGAGAATTGGCATTTGGCTCTAAAATATGACAAAGTGACGACGTAAGAACAACTTTAATAGAGTCGGCAAGGTAAGGGACAAAGAGAGAAATAAAATTTGAATATTATTGGACATTGCTTGAGAAGGTCGTTGAAACTTGAAAAGCATATGCCAAATTGCCTTTGGTGATTCTGAGAGATGTTATCAGCTTATCATCACAACTTTTCAAGTATGTTTTTTAACATATTTTCATTAATAAGCCATGTTTTATATTTATTTTAAAGTTTTTTAATTATTAAACATTTACGAGACAGAGAAAAATTAGATTATACACCTAAATCCCTGTATACTAAGAGAGAAATACAAGGCCATCAACTAGACTCTTTTTTTCTTTTTCTTTTTTTGTAATAGTCAACTAGACTCTTTAATTACTAAACTAACTCGTAATATGAATTTACACAAAATAATTTAACTAAAAATACTTTTCTAGAAAAACCTTCAAAATTATAATTTATTTATTTATTTATTTTGGACCCTCTGTGTGAAACTTTCTAGAAGGATTAGAATTATAAAGCCCCACCGTAACTAGGAGTGGTCCCACATATCACGGATTGGGTGGTGGTGTTCATGGCCTAGACCACAGAACATGGTCTTATGATACTGGATCTTCAACATGCAAGATCAGAATGTGATCTTCAACATGCAAAAGCATAACAGAGAGAAAAGACAAACACAGACTTAAAGGTGATTTGCTTTGTATTGAATTAGCTTATTATTGTACAAGAAATGAATGGAATCAGTTTATTTATACAACTGGTTCAAGAAGAATTAAAAGAAGTAATCAGTAATTAAACCTTTAACTAACTTCTAAGAGAATAAACAAAAGAAACTGACTAATATGATTACATTGGATTGGGCCTTGTTGCATCTTTTGGGCCCAAGTCATTAGAGCCTGGTAACACCCCCCCCCCCCCCCACAAGCTTGAACTGGGTGATGAACATCAAGAAGGCCAAGCTTGCCAATAAGAGAGTCGAATGGAGAAGATAGTAGAGGCTTTGTAAAGACATCAGCAATCTGATCATGAGTGGAAACAGGAAGCAGATGAAGAAGGCCAGATTGTATCTTCTCACGAGTAATGTGACAATCCAACTCAATATGTTTGGATCTTTCATGGAAAACTGGGTTGTGAGACAGATGGATGGCAGAGAGGTTATCACAAAAAACAGCAATTGGTTTCGGTCTTGGAACAGCTAAGTCTTGTAAGAGGAATGATAGCCATTGGAGTTCACATGTGATGGAAGCCAATGCACAATATTCCGCTTCAGTGGATGAGCGTGATATTGTTGTCTGTTTCTTTGATCTCCAAGAGATGAGGGAGGTGCCAAGAAACACACAGAAACCTGTGACTGATCTACGGGTGTCTGGACAACATGCCCAGTCAGCATCAGCATATGCATTTAGCTGCAAAGAAGAAGTAGCAGAAAAGAATAGACCTTTAGCAGAGGAACTCTTCAGATATCGAAGAACTCGATGAGCTGCTTCAAGATGAGCATCAGTGGGAGCAGCCAAGTATTGGCTTAGTTGATGAACACTGAAGCTAATATCAGGGCGAGTAGTGATCAGCAGTTGGCCAGTTTGAATGCCAAGCTCGACAAGATGCAGCTCTCAACATCCAAAGTAGATATATTTGACTGTGAGTATTGCAAGGAACCGCATGATATTAATGAGTGCCCTACACTCAATAGAGCTGAACCATTCTAGGTCAATGGAATTTGGTATGATCCAAGGCCTCCACAAAATACTCAAGGTTACCAAAGGAATCAGAATGGCGGCCAAGGGAACAATTTCCAAAGGAGGAATCAAGGGAGCGGCCTGGATTATAAATCCAACAACTATCTGTAACCTCCTCCTCTGCCACAAAAAGAGCCATCTGAGTTGGAGAAAACGATGATACAACTGGCCAAAACTACTTATGATCACATAAATGAGACCAGAGCCTACCACAAGAACCAGGATGCTTCCATCCGAAACTTGGAGAGTCAGATAGGCCAGTTGTCTAGGCAGTTGGCTGAAAGGTCTCAAGGACAGTTCTTAAGTGATACAATTGTGAATCCAAAGGAGGAATGCAAGTCCATTGTGACAAGGAGTGGAATTGTGATCACTCCTCAAGAAAAGCTGAAATCGGTTCAGCCAAAGAAAGTTGATGAGCCAACACCTGAGCTGGAGCATGAAAAAGAAGAACCTGCAAGGCAAGACAAAGAAGAAGCAAAGGAGAAAGTTGTGGAAGCTCCAAAGCATCCAATGGATTTTTCTCATTTTGAGAAACCTCTTTATCCTATGAAGCTCAAGCAGCAAGTACAGAAGCAATAGTATGCCAGGATTTTAGATATGTTTAAAAAATTGCTTATTAATATTCCATTTGCTGAAGCTTTTGCTAATATGCCTAACTATGCTAAATTCATGAAAGATTTATTGTCAAGCAAGCATAAGTTGCAGGATTGTGAGACAATAGCACTTACTGAAGAGTGCAGTGCCATCATTCAGAAAAAGTTCCCACCAAAGCTTCAAGATCCGGGAAGTTTCAACATCCCAATTGCGATAGGCAACACCAATGTTGGCCGGGCATTATGCGACCTTGGAGCAAGCATCAACTTGATGCCGTTGTCAATATGGAAAGCATTGGGAATTTCTGAACTGAAGCGAACCATGGTCTCTTTACAACTTGCTGACCGTTCAATAAGGAGACCTAATGGGATACTAAAGGATATCCTTGTCAAGGTTGACAAGTTCATCTTCCCTGCTGATTTCATTGTGTTGGATATGGAAGAAGAGAGTGAAATACCTCTTCTGCTTGGAAGGTCGTTCTTGGCCACAACTCCAGCTTTGATTGATGTTGAACAAGGAAAGCTCGAGCTACAGATGAACGATGAGACAATCACAATCAATGTGTTTAAAGCTATGACAAACTCATCTGACCCCAG